GTCAATTTGATGTTTCGTTCCAATTAAGCTTGAACTTTGGGCTTAAATATGTAGGCATTCATTCTCCAACACTAATGAATTATTAATATTTAGCTACAGTAGCTTTTTTAATTGACATAATGACAGTCTTATCGGCCTGATTACGAAGAAAAAATGTTGATCCCTAAAAATTAGCTAGCTGTCACTTCTAGTACCACAAAATAATATAATTAAAATATGAGCACTTGTGCCTATAGTTGATTATTGAAACCAACTATTCTCAATAAGAATAATATTCTCTCACCAAATATTATACTTGGAAAATGTCAATGTTTATTGATTTATTGAATTCTAAGTCTGTTTGCAAAAAAGAAGCCACCAACATTGAAAGTTTTTTTTTAAATAAAAAATTTCCACTATCAAAAAATTTATAATAAACTTTTTAATAAGAATATCTTCTTCTTATTCAAAATTAAAATTGACAAAATATTTTTGATGTACCGGATGTAAATGTCATAAGTAAAAATTTCATTGAAGTTCTAAAAAGTTCAATTAATAAAAATATAAAATCAGTAAAAATTACACACAAATATAGAAATAAAAAGCAATGGGCTTATTTAAATCCATAAATGTAAAAAATCGATTATACTTATTTCTTAGAAATCATCTAAATAATATAAACATAAACGCAAAAATTTTACAACTATTACAAAAATAGTCTTAAATTAATGGAAAATAAAAAAAAATTATTTCTCTGTGGAAATATTTTAATATAATATATGTAACAGGACTATGCCTAAAAAGAAAATAATAAAAACGACTTTTTTAGTGATATACAAAAAAGATATGCTGGGAAAATGACCAATCCTTAAAATTTTAAAGTTACTCAGCCCATAGAAAAAACAATGTATTTTTTCTCAACTAATGAGAAAACTAATAAAATTATAGTACAGACACTTTTCCTAGATTGATTAATTAAATCTTTATATAAAGCTGGAGATAACTACCGCCCTATAACGTTAACATCTACTATATATAAGCAAAATAGTTATTAATTATTTAAAAATAGGTTCTTCTAATACTTCACAAAAAATGTTTCCTTAAGTAGGCCTTTCTTCTTCTTCTTTTTAAGTGTCAGTTTGGATTTAATTCGGAGCCGCGCGTATCTATGACAGACATGACTGGTATCTCTGTCTTTGTGGATCATGGCCTACTTTTGAAACATTTTTGTTGGAGCACACTTTATATAAGTGTTGAAATAGGTACTAAATTTTTAGTTAGGAGTTATTAAATACCATCATGGCGGCGCGTGGCTTCTTAAGCCGTTTTGAAAGGGTGATCTTCCCATAAGACACTCTAGGGTCCTTGTAGCCCTATTATAACTTTTGCAAATCTATGTGCAACGCGATTCTCTGTACATCCCCGTCGATGCTGATACGAGATCCCTCCTTAGCCTCGAATATGATTTCGGTGCTCATATCGCAAATTTATACAGTTTAGTCCTCTCATAAGACACTCTCTGGTCACTACAGTCCTGGATTTGTCAATAGGCCGTATAGGCCGCGGCCTAGGGGCGGCAGCGTCCTAGGGGCGGCAAATTTCATAGGACACTTACTCGATTTCAGAGAATAAAGTCAAACATGTTCACTGGTTTTCTCATGGTTTTCTATACTTATAAGTTAAATCCCTATAGAAAGTCATTCCTATCGAAAATTATCAATTCTAGGTACCTACTGTTATTGTACCTATTTTATCTATATAACGACGATTTGGTTCAAGAATGTGTGCATTTTCACAGTCACATTTCCTCTAATAAAACTGCAGAGTGTGCAGTGAAGCCTGGATCAAACTCACTACTTAGTTTCTCCACGTTTGTCTCAGTTTCCACTCCGGCTACAAATTGTTCTTGGCAAACGAATTTTTCCTGTTTAAAACGCGAAAAATTATCAAAGGTCTTCATTGTCTCAAGAAAAAATAAATTCTTTAGCTCTTCTCTAAACAGAAGCAGAGATGGTGAACACCATAAACTATGATGATATTATCGATGATTTTGCTATTAAAAAGTCCCGTAAAAAATTGTAATTCTTGTTTCTTTTTTACGCTCTTTCTTAATGACTAATCCATTCGTTGATATAACTTTAGTGCCTTCCTTACTACAAGTGGAAAATTATTATTTTAAAAAGGTACATGGGGCGGTGAAAATAAAGTGGCCTACATTCATAAAAAATATAAATCCGGCACTGGGTCACTATACCCATTTAATAACATTTCGCAAATCTATACAGGGTGATCGTCACATGAGACACTCTAGGGTCCTTATCTATTTTATAATTTTTCGCAAATCTATACAGGGTGATCTTCATATAAGAAACTCTCGGGTTGCTATACCTATTTTATGAGGTGATTCTCGGTACAGCCCCGTCGATGCTGATACGAGACCCCTCCTTAGGCCCGAATATCGATTCAAGAATACAATTTATCATTCTGAAGTATTCAACTCTAAATGTCTATTCTGCTGCTACAATTAGTGTATGGCTAGAAAGTTTTTAATGTAGAGATCAAAATATTGCTATCTTCTCTAAAAATAAATTCAGAACAAAATGTCTGAATCTTGATAAATATAATGAAAAGGGTATTTTATAATTTTGTGGTATATCAATTAAAAATTAATATATTCATAGTATACAGACCCAGCGGTGGAAATTAGAGTTTTTCTACGAAATTTTGAATGTCTTTTGGATGATTTTGTAAATTCCTCGCAATGATTATGATTATGATTTTAATTTTAACTTTAAGGGAGATTATGCCTCTCTGAATGGTTTAAAGTGCTTGTTGAGTTCTTACGGACTTTCAGTAACTGTCGATGAATATACTAGGATCACATGTTCGTTTCCATTCATTTTCCTGTTGACGGTACATTCTCTCTAATACAATGCATATTATTTTGATTTAAAAAAGCGCATTTAAAGGATTTTAGATTCCACATGTTCCTAAAAAGTGCTTTTTATTGACGTTGAGACATTGAGAACTCTGCAGATAACAAATCATTTGAAATATAATCATTTAATCCTTTATTTCCTAATCCTAATACATATTAAGCCATAGCATTATCCATATACAGAGCCGTCAACTGAAAGTCTTCCAATACGCGATGCACAAGTGCAGACAGTTGGCACTGGAGCGAGCAGGAGGCGAATAATATCGATGTTGCTGGCATCACTGATATCATTCGTTTCCTGTTTGCTATGTAGTTTTTACAGCACTTGTGCCAAGGGGTATTGGAAGGTGTTTGGTAGCCGATATTATATATGCTATCAGTATCTATATCGCCAATAACATAACATTTTTGACACCAACAAGCAGCATGTTGCGGTGATTCTGAGCATGCGCATTGAATCTTGTTTAGACCACGGTTTTACAATATAAAACCATATACAATGCATTGTTTTTGGCACCTGATTCACCACTAAACACTAAAGAAACTAATACAATAATTGAAATATGTACTACATACGTGACTACAGTGGCTAGGTTTTTGGTAAATATATTAAATGAATATCAACAATATTTTACTATGATGGCAGTTACATCGTTTTAAAAATATTTCTACGGTGTGTATGTCATCAGTCATCACTAACATGCGAAATAAGTGAACATAAAGCATGACACGTTTCCACCAACCAAACATATTAAATTAAAAAAGTACTTTTCGAAATGTATTATATAGGACACTATTCTAGGCCAACGTTATAACGCGGTCGGGTAGTATATACTGACAACGCTGATATTATTCGTTCCCTGATCGCTCTAATGCTAACTCTTTGTAGTTTTCACATGCACTTAAGTAAAGCGTATTGGAAAACGTTCAGTGTACGACACTGTATAGCAGGACCGTCCATAGGGGGGTACGGCCGGTACAAATTACCGGGGCCCGTAGAGTTTCGGCACGTGACGCGTATTGCCGTTCAGGATTTAATTATTTCAGCTTTTCTCAACCTTTCAGTATTCGTAGCCCAATTTTCAATAACAATTTTTATGGCGCCCCCTACCTTTCTTTTTCATATAATAAAATACGACGTGTATTATGCGTTGAAAATATTGACCCTAATCTCCTTAGTGTAACGTATTGTTAGTGCCCTAGACCCTAGACTCTAGACCTAGAGCCCTAATATAGAACTTAATTATTACATACCTTCAAAATTGCCGAGAATAGGTGAATTTATTGAAACTTGGCAATGCCGCTCCGCTATATCTCGTATAGGTAAAGCATATTATTTTATTAATACACCTTTACACGCTGAAACAGAAGGATGGGGTTTCTGTTATTTTAAAAAATTTTAAAAATTTAAAAATGTTGTTACCTATTTCTGCATTGTCATTGAGTGTTAAATACCTTAAATATATTTGTAGTCTTTGTCAGCTGTTATTATTTTGATGTCAGAACAAGTTTTTAATTTTCATGAACCCATAGATTGTCTAATTCTTTCACTCATAATCAACTTTTCTTAATTACGAAGATTGTTTAGTTATTTATTTTGTATATTTTGTGCAAAACATATTCTATACGCAATACATAAAAACAAACAAAAACAAATTTTGCTCGAGGCACTTTTTTTACAACTTTTGAGTTAAAGTTTGAACGTTGCAACGTAGCACCCAAAAACTAGGGTGAGTCCTACCTTTAACAGGGCTCGTCGGGATAGCAATACTGGGATACGTGTGTGATCCGCACGCCCCCCTATGTTATGCCGATGTTTTTATATTATTATTGTTATTATTATTAAAGATACAGTTTTGGAATCCTTACAATCACAAGTTCAAGTTAAACTTATCAAATTTTATGTTACCAGTATTAAAACGTATGCAATGCTGGCAAGTTCTAACCTTCGGGCTGCTATATAGCATCGATGTTGTCAGTCGAGTTACCGATTACGCGCATACAAGGCCTGCCGGTTATTCAGAGACAATCGGTGAAATAAATTATTCAACTATATGACTTAATTATTCTTTAATATTTGCAGAAACTAACAATCGACAGCGAAGTCCATAATTTGGAAAAATTGACACTTACGCCCGAAATAATCCCAAAAGATAAGGAAGCATTACCCGCAGCTCCTTCCTCAATTCCCGATAATATGTGTGTAAGTTTATTCACAGTTTTGCAAATTCAAACAATTTCTTCCTTTTGCATTCCTTGTTTTTGTCTCTGCTTGTCTTCAAATTAACTGCATTACCATTCCCAATTTAATGTTTAATATTTTTATTTAGAAAATTCTTACTGAAACGAAAAACTGTTTAATTACGAACAGTTCTAATGAAAATGACAAGACAGTACCTTACACGGAACCATATCTACTTTGCTTTAACCAGGAGGTAAGTATTGAGAAATTCTCTGAAATAAATATAGAACAATGACTCTATTTAGGGAATTTATGTTAAAACGAAAGTTGATAATTTGAATAAATTGCAAACTGACAATTCTACAGAAGATATTGAAAAGGACAACGAAATAGATAAAGAAATAGATTTAGAAGAAGGTAACGAAATAGGTGTAGATGAAGATATAGAAGAACGTATAGAACAGGATAAAGAAATAGATATAGAACAAGATGAAGTATATGAAGAAAACGATAAAGAAATATATACAAAAACAGACAATGAACAACAAATAGAAATCGACGTAGAAATAGATAAAGAAAACGAAAAAGATTTTTCCAGTGCAGATATTGATATTCACGATGAGGAAGACGTAAGTTTTATGAATCATCATCGTTTTATTATGCTGTACAATACATACTTTAATAGTTTAATAGTATTAGTAATTATCCGCCTTTAATATTGAGTAACAATAATCGAATTGAATTGAAAAATGACAGCTAATTTACGCTGATCAAATCGAAGCTAGAGTAAAATTTACTACTTTGGATGCTTCTGGTATCTAATTTAATATCAATTCGGACAAATTGTATCAACTAATTTAGTATTCTGCCTGAATTAAACTGGCTAAATTAAAATAATAAGTGACTCTTTAAATACAGGGTGACGCAGCTTTTATTAGCGAATTTTAGAATATCAAGAACTTCCGGTCATACCAGAAGTGACCATGAATTTTGAAATTTAAAATAGGACATACTGTATATTTCAATAGATCTGAATTCTCTAATCAGTTCTACATATTTATACACCTATCTGATAATTTGGAGGTTAAACTTATAATGTATGTTGTCTAAAAATGAAAATGTATTAACAAAAAATGTAAAATTAGAAATTAATTGAATAATTTAACTGCCGTCTTTCTGTCTCCAGAAAAGCCTGAAACTTCTTAAGTAGTTTCCTCCCTATGCAATTAGTCCACCGAAATTAGACAAAAAATTACCCTAAAACGAAAATTTTTAGTACAGCATGGAGACCCAGATGACAAAATTTCATTATGCGTAGAGATGAGAATGATCAGAAGAAAGTATTATATGTACATATTATATTTTTCGGTTTTTTCTGAGTTTTTTTTATTTTACTCAAAAACAATGCGTTTTCATGAAACATTTTACTAGACTTTTTTTGAAGAACAAACGATTTTCTATGAATTATGACCTCATAGTGAAAATAAAGTGAATATATTCCCCGAGGAGTTTCAGTTTCTCTTGTTTTCAAGCATACGCATCCTGGTCAGTAGAAAATCCACATTGGGTCAGAGAAACTAGTTTTCAGTGTAGAGCATTAATGTTTAAGAGCGATATCCATGGTTAGAAACGGGCTCGAAACGGCTACAAGGTTTTCTCTTTCAATTTCGAATATTTTTTTTTGAAATTTTCTATACCTGCTTTGTAAATGATAGAGAATCCCGCTGTAGAGCCCAAATTCAAAAAAACATATTTTTATAATTTTTCTTTACAAATTAGGAAAATTATTGCAAAAAGGAATCTTTACCGGGAATTGTTATATAAAAATCAACTAATTCTTTCTTATAAATTTTTTTATCCATAGCGTATATTTTTTGAAAACCTTGATTTACGAAAACTGAGAAAATGTATCAAGATTTATATTCATATAAATTGATTTGGCAACAAGGCGGCGGACGTTGTGTGCAGTACCCGAACCGAAAGTATTTATTCGATGGCTTTGTCTTGAAGTCGCTGAAATTATTCAAAAACTTTTTAGTTTCTTGGAATTTAATATATTTATTATTTTGTTTTTAATTGCTGTAATTAGGTATAGTTTATTTTGTATATAGGGTTGGGATTAAAGTTTGGAACAGTAACACGAAAAGGACGATATTTATGAAACTTTGCAGGCGAGTTATTGTCAGAAGGTGAACGGCGAGCATTTTGAATATTTGAAGTGATTTTGTTTAAAGTATTATTCTCATTAGACTAAAGTAAATAAATTTACCTATTCTTTAAATGTAAAGTGATTTATTTCTCGTTTTTATAAATAATTTCCACTAAACTTAGTATGTACGAATTCGGAATAACAGGATCTTTTAAAATCTGCAAAAATATACAAGGTGTCCCCTCTAAATTACAAAAGTTGAGGGTATTTCCGGTGAAACCGGAAGTACAGTAGTAACAAAAAATATGGCATCAGATGCGTTATGCGTCATTGTATTTGCCTGCAAAGTTTCATAAATATCTAGTTATAATTGGGATTAAATAAAATATTAACAATTGAAATGGCAAATTTTTTAATCGCACCGTCGCGTCGTTTTATCGTGTGCATGGAAGAGCTTCTCAAAAAAAAATTGTAATTTCGTTCAGGGTACACACCAAGAGAAAAATTTCCGGAATTTTTTCTAGTTGTCATGGAAACTTTATAACAAAAAAGCATTTGAGTTACTATAAAATAGAGGTGTCAAATTTTCACTTATAATACCACTAGTGCCTAAAAAATTTCCTGATATTAATTTAGGCACGTGTGGTATTCGGTAAGAAAATTTTACATCGAAATATCAAATTTTGACAGACATGTATTAGAACGGCTAAAATAAAATTTGCAAAGTTGGCCTTGCCAGTTATTCCTATTTGTCATATTTGAAGTCGTTTAGTCGACGCGAAAAACTTAATTAATGTGTTACTTATAATAATTGTACTGTATTTCTATCTAGTTATAATTGGTGTGAAATTATTAACAATAAAAATGGCAAATTTTTTAATCCCTCACACTGTCACGTCATGTCATAATGTAATGGAAGAGTTTCTTAAACGTCAAAAAATTTCAGTTGTAATTTCATTCAGGTGCGCCCTCCAAGAGAAAAATAAATTTCCGGAATTTTTTTCTGTTTGTCATGGATACGTTTTGAAACAAAAGCATTTAACTAAAAAAGGGAGGTGTAAAATTTTTTCAAAAATGCTTCTGTGCGTTTTTGTTTTCGAGCAATTCTCTAGTACCATGAGATTGTAATTTAAGACACTTTCATTACAGAATTGTATCTTCACAAGTTTCAGTTTCTGAATTTAAAACCTCGACGGAATATAATTCCGGTGCTTGTAATGTAATCAAGTAAGAATTTTTTTTAATTTTTTTTCTAATTATTCTACGAAAACAGTATATAAAATATATCTTACATAAAAGGTAACTACCCAGATATTTATACTAAAATTCTTAATTTAGGAAAACGTCATTATCTTCTCGTGTTCCTAAGTGTAGGCTACTGGGATGAATCTGATACCTCACATAAAGATGAAACACCTGAATTCAGGATTTCGGCGCAATATAATTCCGGTGAATATAATGTAATCAAGTAAGAATTGAATTTTTTTTAAATTTTTTTCTGATTATATTATCATAAAATTACGTAAAAAATATTATAAAAAAATGGTTCCTACACAGATATTTATGCGGAAATTTTTATTTCAGTAAAAAATTAGAATCTTCCCCTGTTCCTGGGTGTAGCTACTGGAAAGAATCCAATTTCTCCCATGAAGGTGAGACACCTCCAGCAAACAGAAAATGCAAAGAACAAGAAAAAATCAAACCGGAGGGTAGGAGGAGGGTAGATTTTTAATTTTTCTTCAAAGAAATTCAAAAAATTTCACACCATGCCTTATTTAATTGTACTTTAAAAGATATGGAAATTATTCATGAAAATAGAAATGAATTATGTAGTAGATTTTTAGTGAGGTGTAAAATGTGTCTTATTGAACATTGCATAAAATTTTTTGAGGACTTTGAGCACACGATGAATATAAATGTAGCTGCAGCATTAGGAGCACTCTGGATAGGAATAGGTTTTTCTTAAATTAAAGAATTCATGGCTGCCTTGAATATACCATTTATGTCTCCTGGAAAATATCAAAGTTGTCACGAAAAATTAGCAGGTCACATTCACAATAAAGCTTGGGAAAATATGGAGAGAGCAGCTACTGAGGAAGCTAATCTGGCACGCGAGCTTGGCGAAGTTGATGACAAAGGTCATCCTTATATAACTGTTGTTGGCGACGGAGCACGGAGTAAGCGCTCATATAATGTAAATTATAATGCACTATCAGGAGTAGCATGTGTTATTGGAAAAAGAACGGTTAAAATATTATTTTTAGGAGTAAGAAATAAATATTGTTGTATTTGTGAAAGGGCTATCGCCAAAAACATACAACCAATACCTTATCATAAATGTTATAAGAACTGGGATAGTACCTCTACAAGTATGGAAACTGATATTATTGTGGAAGGATTTAGGTGTAGTTTAGAAATGTATGGACTAATTTTTTTACGACTTGTAGGTGATGGCGATAGTAGCGTGTACAATAAATTAGTAGAAACAAGGCCCTATGGGAATACTTTAGTGCAGAAAATAGAATGTAAAAATCACTTACTTAGAAATTTTTGCAGAAAATTAAGGGAAATATCCGGTAAAAAACGAAATACCTCTAAAAATTGTGCAGTTCCAATATTTTTAAGGAAACATGTTTTAAAAAGTATTTTACGTATCAGAACTGCATGTAGTAAAGCGGTTTTATAACGGACAAACGAAGAAAAACCACTTACAGAAAAAATACAGCTTTTGTGTAAAGATTTAAAAAATATACCATCACACGTATTTGGTGAACATTCAAAATGCCAAGAAATTGGGTACTTTGAATGCAAACCGAATCCTAGTGAAAAAAACTACATTAAAGAAATGAAAAATTGTGGTTTACAATTCGATAATATATAAGTTTGTTGGTGGAAAACGTATTAATTTTTCTCTAAGAGGATCATACGCTTCGAGGTGTGAAGCAGCCTCAAGATATTTTAATGTAGGCACATCTGATTACTACAAAGAGGTTTTTAAAGCTGTTACTAACAAAAGTCCAACGGGTAACACAAAAAAATATTCCAATAAAATTACAAGACGTAGGCTTTGGCATGAAAAAAATATAAAAGGAAAACGTGTCTTTAAAAAAAAAGGCAAAACAAAGTTGTCTTCCTGATAAAGATTACGGTTTGCAAACTTTGGACAACAAGGAAAAAATTCCAGATATACCTGACAATGAGTACGAAGATAAAAAATTACCTTTCTGAAACAACTTCACATATCATCGAATGAAATTATACAACTTGAAAAAGAAACGAGAGGGAAAGCTGGCAACCCAGTTTGGAAACAAGCCAGAAGTACCCGCTTAACCGCGTTAAATTTTGGAACCCTATGCAAAATGCGTCTAAAAACAAGTACGAATTTTATTAAAAACTTGTTATGTTCCAATTATATGGGAAATGAATATACTAAGTATGGAATTGAAAAAGAACCTTTAGCTATAGAGGAATTTAAAGTGG